ACTTACCCATTCAGTGAGATGTTTTCTCATGTTGACCGAACCTTCCTAAGTGGGTCCTAATTGTTGACGTTTAGAATTGTAATGTTTTTGACACTCTTATAACAAATAATCTCTTTTGACTGCTTTGAAATGGACCCCTTAATAATCCGATATGACCTTCTCAGATTGGACACGACACAAAGTAAAACAAAATTAGTCCAATATTCAAAGAAGGTACAACTTCACCGGTGGTGACAATATTTTTCCAGGCGAGTGAACTATATATTTTTTTTCTCCTGATATACTGTGGGAATACAAAAGAAATCATCATCATCAATTTGCAGAGATTTTATGGAATCAACAACTAATTTGCGTATTGAAGTGAACAACATTGATTTTTATATAGATGCATTGTTCTTTATCAACAACAGAAGATCGGAAAATCTTAAATCATTACTTAAAAATTGTTACTTCTATGAAGTTGCAATCCTAGATCAACCACTAAAAGTTTCAACCATTTCATTTTGTACCTCGTCTCGAATCATAGGATTCAAATTCCGAATATAGTTGATTTTAGCAGTAGCATCCCATAACAAAGGTCATTAGCATATTTTAATATCAAACAAACAATTGAAGAGACATTTGAAATCAGGAATATAAGACCAATACTATGATAGCAACAATGATGGCATTGTCCTCTTAACACTGCAGGTATTGTATTTTGACCTCGAGGGGAACTCTAACATGGAAATAATATAAATATCTACGGAAGGTAAGTATTAATTTGTTTTTTTTCATAATTATGCAGTTTGCGTAGAAAGTAACATAGATTATTAAACTAAATGAGATAGTAATATGAGTGAAATAAAACGGCTTCTTAGTTGCAGATTTCCTATTTACTCATTAGGAAGGAATTTTTGGAAGAAGTAAAAAGATCAAATTCAAGATTCTGAGACTTACAATGGCATTCTTTAAAAGAGATAAGTCATGTAGTGACGACAAGTGCAGCAAGGTTGTAATAGCATCTGACTTTGTTTTTCATTTAAACATTTCGTGTATCATTTCTTGTGATCGAGGGAAATTTCTTAGGAGTAAATAACATTGATAGCTACAAAAGGTAATTTTATACCCAAATATTAACCATAATTAGGTAGTTTATTTGTGGAGTGATATCAATGATTTTTACTAATTGATGAATTTTTGGTGGAAGAAGTCATTACGCTAGTAGATACGATGGAAATATATTTTTTTTTTTTACTAAATATCAGAAAGATAGATAGTGAGGTATTAATAGATTGAAGCGTGAAAATGAAAATAGACATGAAATATATATAGTTGTTGTAATATGTGGCTCATATAGAATGAAATACGTGTATACTGGAATAAGTAGGCCGACGTCGGAGTGGAATGAAGAGAGTGGAATGAAGGGAGTAGAGCAAAGCGCAACGATTGGAATGGAGCAAACCACATGTAGAGATGGCAAAAAAACTCGACAAACCCGATATCTATGGGCCCCGCCCCAAACGATCGGGAATTACCCACTTAATGGGTATTCGGGGCGGGGACGGGGCGGGGTGGGGGATGGGTAAAGGGTACCCCGCCTCGTTAATTTTTTTTTTTAGAATTCAATATTTTAAATGAAAAATTTCACGAAATTTTATTAGTTCTAATACAAAATAGCAACTAAAATTATTTGTCTCACTCTAATGAATGGGAGTAATAAAATAAATTATCAAAAACTTAAAAAAAATAAAAATTAAATGGGGTAGTAAACGGGGCAAGGGCTCGACCATCCTTAAACGGGTAACAGGGCATAGAATTTCTTGACGAGGGCCCCGCCCCGCCGACCCCATTGCTATCCCTAAACACATGTATGGTACAATGGGTATTTTTGAAGTTTTCCCTAAAATCTTGTACAAGTTGGGCTGTGTGTGTGTGTGAGTGATGTAACCCTATTGTTCATGTATAGGGCTTGTTTGGGATGGATTAAAATCTAATTTTAATCTAAGTCAAAGTCAAACAACCAGTATTTATCATATTTTTCATGGGTCTCACATCTTTTCAACCACACATTTCAAATACTTCTATCACAATCCACTAAAAATCTAATTTTAATCTCCACCAAACACGCTCATAATAAAATCATAGTCGATTCGCTCTTGTGAACGTAGGCCTATTGTTGTACCACGTAAATATTGTGTTCTCTCTCTTTTTTGATTCTATATTGTTCATTGCTATTGTTGCACAAAACACACAATAGTCAATAGTTCATAGTGAATAGTGAATGGGATAATTCGCGAAACTACAACGATTGCTCGATCAATGGGATAAAAGTTCCATTGTACCGCAGTTAAGCAAATTTAGCTTAAATTATAATGAAATAGTTAAAAAAAAAAAAAAAACCTTCAAAATATGCTATGAATGTGCAGTATCAGGTATGGATGAACGACCCACAGGTAAAGATTTGTAGCGATAGTTCTACATATTTCTACAATGATGAGAAACAGACTTGACGAAATTCCCTATATTGTTGATGTCGATGAAGTAACATGTAGTGAAACTAGAAATTAGTTTAATGCTAGCTACTGTGAGAAATGGATTCTGTCACAATGTTTCTACATATGATTCTATTTATGGCTATTCAGGAAATTCTTTGATACCAAGACTGTCGTACTATTGAGGAAATGGGTTATGAAATTTGTGAGAATGTGACGAATCGAGACCACATAACGAATGAGACAGATTGCAAGCTCATCTGAAATCCTAATATTGTGGATGTTAAAAGCGATAAAATTTTCAGGATTAAGGAATTATTGGTGACAAGTGTATCACTATATTCAATACATTCAACATTTCATTACAAATGGTACAAATTGGACAAGAATAAT